TATGGGGCCACGAAGCGCTGCCCTGGGTGGGGGAACCGCATGCGAGAGCAGCTACTGGGGCCTTCGGTGGAGCTCCCGATGGGGCCACGAAACGCTGCCCTGGGTGGGGGAACCGCATGCGAACACCCCCACTGGAGCCTTCGGTGGAGCTCCCTATGGGGCCACGAAACGCTGCCCTGGGTGGGGGAACCGCATGCGAACACCCCCACTGGGGCCTTCGGTGGAGCTCCCTATGGGGCTACGAAACGCTGCCCTGGGTGGGGGAACCGCATGCGAACACCCCCACTGGGGCCTTCGGTGGAGCTCCCTATGGGGCCACGAAACGCTGCCCTGGGTGGGGGAACCGCATGCGAACACCCCACTGGGGCCTTCGGTGGAGCTCCCTATGGGCCACGAAACGCTGCCATGTGTGGGGGAACCGCATGCGAACACCCCCACTGGGGCCTTCGGTGGAGCTCCCTATGGGGCCACGAAGCGCTGCCCTGGGTGGGGGAACCGCATGCGACCACCCCCACTGGGGCCTTCGGTGGAGCTCCCTATGGGGCCACGAAGCGCTGCCCTGGGTGGGGGAACCGCATGCGGACACCCCCACTGGGGCCTACGGTGTAGCTCCCTATGGGGCTACGAAACGCTGCCAAGGGTGGGGAACCGCATGCGGACACCCCCACTGGGGCCTTCGGTGGAGCTCCCTATGGGGCTACGAAACGTTGCCCTGGGTGGGGGAACCGCATGCGAACACCCCCACTGGGGCCTTCGGTGGAGCTCCCTATGGGGCCACGAAACGATGCCCTGGGTGGGGGAACCGCATGCGAACACCCCCACTGGGGCCTTCGGTGGAGCTCCCTATGGGGCTACGAAACGCTGCCCTGGGTGGGGAAACCGCATGCGAACACCCCCACTGGGGCCTTCGGTGGAGCTCCCTATGGGGCCACGAAACGCTGCCCTGGGTGGGGGAACCGCATGCGAACACCCCCACTGGGGCCTTCGGTGGAGCTCCCTATGGGGCCACGAAACGCTGCCCTGGGTGGGGGAACCGCATGCGAACACCCCCACTGGGGCCTTCGGTGGAGCTCCCTATGGGGCCACGAAACGCTGCCCTGGGTGGGGGAACCGCATGCGAACACCCCCACTGGGGCCTTCGGTGGAGCTCCCTATGGGGCCACGAAACGCTGCCCTGGGTGGGGGAACCGCATGCGAACACCCCCACTGGGGCCTTCGGTGGAGCTCCCTATGGGGCTACGAAACGCTGCCCTGGGTGGGGGAACCGCATGCGAACACCCCCACTGGGGCCTTCGGTGGAGCTCCCTATGGGGCCACGAAACGCTGCCCTGGGTGGGGGAACCGCATGCGAACACCCCCACTGGGGCCTTCGGTGGAGCTCCCTATGGGGCCACGAAACGCTGCCCTGGGTGGGGGAACCGCATGCGAACACCCCCACTGGGGCCTTCGGTGGAGCTCCCTATGGGGCCACGAAACGCTGCCCTGGGTGGGGGAACCGCATGCGAACACCCCCACTGGGGCCTTCGGTGGAGCTCCCTATGGGGCCACGAAACGCTGCCCTGGGTGGGGGAACCGCATGCGAACACCCCCACTGGGGCCTTCGGTGGAGCTCCCTATGGGGCCACGAAACGCGTGAGAGGGGTGCCGAGAGCAGAGGCAAGGAGGGGGAGGAGGGAGGAGGAGGGGGAGGAAGGAGGGGAACGCGGGGCACCGTCTCTTCAAAACGAGGACCCAACTCCACAGGATGGTTGGGAATGAAAGGGTTGTCAATTTGGGTCCCCCCCTCGGAGGCTCAACCATGGCGTCTTGGGGCCCTGTTGGGGCCATCTCGGGCCTGTCTTGGGCCTCTCTTTGGCCGTCTTGGGACAATCTTGAGACCTCAAAAGCCAATCGGAAGCGAAACAGCGAGAAGGGATAACACACTGTTTGTTTTTAATGTTCGGAGTCGTTTTGGCTTCTTCGGTGAGATCCTCGGAGGGCTCGGCGGGCACTGGAAGCTGTCTTGGGGCAATGTTGAGGCCTCTTGGATGCGCGTCGGAGGCTGTCTTGAGTCATCTTGAGATATCGTTGCCCATCTTGGAGACCATCCTGGACTCGCGAAGTCCCAAATGTGTTCCAAGTCAATTCCAAAGTAGGCCCAAATTTGTCAGCGCCAAGAGCCGCGTAGGATCCCATGGAACGGACACCAAGTCGAAAAAGAACAGTCTGCATAAACATAACTGTTGGGGCTCCGCGCGGCTTCCTCGTGTCGGCGCTGGGCGCCCCTAGCGGCGCCTCCGGCGCCGCCCCCAGTGCACTCCGCGCGCTAGGGAGGGTGGTCCAGCGCAGATCCAAGAAATCCGAGCGGAGGTCCGAATGGTTCTGTCGATGCCCTTCTCTCCCTGTAGATCAGATTCAGCGTCGCCTGTCTGTGTGTAGGTGTGTTGGTTCATTGCGTTCCGCGTGGGCCGACCCGAGCAAGGGTGAACGGCGTACATCGGGAGCATCCGCGCACGGAACGCGCAAGCACGTGCTGACATGGCAGTGGCCTCCGTTGTGGCAGTACTCTCGCAGCGCGTGTGTGCGCCAAGGTATTATGCAATAGCAAGTGTAGTCTTCGAATGTCTTCGATGGCGAGTGCGGCGGTGGCGGTAGCCAACTGTGATAAAAGGTTATGATGACAGATGTACGCATTTTTGCGTTATTGCCCGTCAGAGCGGGCATTGAGCAACTGCACATAGTAAACAGGATCCCCGACTGCTTCCTTGGTCCCCTCTCTCTTGGCCACACCATCGCGAGCCCCATCCCCGACCACAATCTCTGGTGGCACATCACCGAGCCAAATGATGGTACTGGCTGGTTGGAGGGGGGGCACAATGACGGGGAGCAGCAAGGACAGGCTCCTGACATTCATCGCACAATGCGCCTCGATCTTCGCACACGTGAAACCCATCCAATTATCTTACTTATATGGGTAATTTCCGTTCCTTCCTTGCATTTCCAGGCATTCTTAAGCAAGGTTACTAACCAGTAACATGATCCAGCTGCTCCGAGCAAGTCCCGCTAACGTGTCTGCTCAGCATGGCAGCTCTTCGGGCGGGCATGGGAGGCCGTCACGCGTGACACCTCGTGTCCCCAGGCTTTGGAGAGCCGCGGTCAGCATGATAGGAATGCTGATGTCGAGGAGGAGGAGGAGCAGGCGGAGGAAGAGGAGGCGGAGGACGAGGAAGGCAGTCACGTTTATGGGGGTTCCTTATGGAACCCTCCCCAAAGGAGCGAAACGTAGAAAGATAAAGGCAGTCACATGTGACATGTTGTGTCCTCCTGGAGCAGCTCTCGTGGAGCTCGTTCGGGCCGTCTTGGGGCTGGCTTGGCCTCCTGTGTGGCAGTCTGGGGGTCCCTTGGGGCCATCTTGGGGCCCTCTTCGGCCATCCTTGGTCCCTCTAAGGCTGTCTTTGGGCTCTCTTGGGCAGAGTTTAGGCCCTCTTGGCCGTATGGGGTTGTCTAGGGGCCGTGTTGGGGCATTCTTGGACCGTCGAACGGCGTTCCAACTTGGGGCTGTCCTGGATGCCCCTTGGGCCATCGCGGGCTCCTCGAGGGCCATGTTGAGAGACCCTCTTTGGGACCTCTTCGTCCTTCTTGGGGACGTTTCTTCTTACTTGAACCTGTAACTTCCGTTACGGGTGGGGTGCCTCCCCGACCCCCTCCCCCCCGTAGCGGTAACCAACGTAAGGCAGGTTGGCGTCGTGTCGACAGGCGGCGACCCTGCCGCCGGCGTTCAGCGTTGAACGCTGTTGGCGACCCAGAATAGGTCGATGTTGAACGATCGGACCTGTCGGAAGCTGCCGATCGTTCAAGATTGAACGATCCCCGCGGTGTCGGAAACCAGCGCCAGGGGAGCCGGGGGGGGCAGCCCCTCCAGAGGTATGGCGCCGTGCTGACTGGCATGGTGTGGTGCTGACAGGCATCGAAGGGCCTCCAGACTCCTCCAGAAACCTCTGGAGACCTTCAGAGGTGGTCGTCGTCGTCGTCGTCGACGTCGACGTTGTCGTCCTCGTCGTGTTCCTCGTCGTCGTCGTCGTCTCCGAGGGCGTCAGAGGGCCGCCAGGCTCCTCCTGGGGCCTCTGGGGACATGTGGAGACCTACAGAGGCTGCCGTCATAGTCGTCGTCGTGGTCGTCCTCGTCCTCGGCGTCGTCCTCGTCCGTCGTCGTCGTCCTCGTCGTCGTCGTCGTCTCCGAGGTCCGAGGGCCTCGGAGGGCATCCAGACGCCTCCAGAGGCTTCTGTCGACCTCCTAAGGCCTCTCGGGCAATCTTGGCGACCTTGAGAGGCTGCCGTCGTCGTTGTCGTCGCCGTCACCGCCGTCGTCGTCGTCGTCAGGCGCCCAGGGCCTCCCCCCTGGGCCCGACCACGTTATCGTTACCCCCCCACAGGCAGCCCAACCCCCTATCCGTAACAAACTTGACGGGCTCTCCGTGACAGACTTGACAGGGGGGGATCAGGAAATCGATGTTTTGGGGAGGCGTCTTGGGCCGAATTGAGCTGATGGAGACGTGAAAAGGACATCTGACAGAAACGAACAGACAATCAATGAATTTGGCTTCTCCGGGCCCTGCCGGGGCTCCTCCCTAGTGGCCCTCTTGGAGGCATCTTGGGCCGTCTTGAGGTCATCGCGGGCCGCCTTGGGGCCGTCTTGAGGCGTCTTCGAGGCATCTTGGGCCATCTCGGCGGCCTTGGTTGCTTGCCCGGGCTGTCTTGGGAGCCCAGGACGCGGATCCATGTTTGTTTCTGCGATGCATCGTGGCCGCAGGAGCGCGGCTTCCTTGTCTCCTTGTGCGAGCGGTCGTGGCCTCGTGAAGGGGGGCGATGCGCGGGCGCGTCTGCGGCGAGAAGGGGTGTGTGTGTGTGTGCCTTAAAAGAATACAAACGCCGTGCCAGGCAGCACTTGGCATTCTGCCACGCCCCTCGATGTGCCAGGGGGGCACGGTAGCACGTCTTCACCGACATCATCATAATGTGGCATGATGTGTAGCCGTTTCTGGCTCAGGTGTTTTGTCTGGTTCAGGGGCTCGGCACTTCGAGGTCACAGGGTCCGGCCTCACACTTTCCTCTTCTCGTTGGCCAGTCAGCAGAAGCGCTTCGCAACCATGGGGATGGCATTCACTAAGCTCTTTTCCAAGCTGGTCGGCAAGCAGGAAATGCGCATCCTGATGGTGGGCCTCGATGCTGCTGGCAAGACCACCATCCTGTACAGCCTGAAACTCGGCGAGGTTGTCACGACGATCCCGACCATCGGTTTCAACGTGGAGACTGTCGAGTACAAGAACATCAGCTTCACCGTGTGGGATATCGGTGGCCAGGACATCATCCGCCCGCTCTGGCGCCACTATATTCGTAGCTATCAAGGCACGCAAGGCCTCATCTTCGTAGTGGACAGCAACGACCGCGACCGCGCGGAGGACGCCCGCGAAGAGCTCACGAAGATTTTGAACGAGGACCAGTTGCGTGATGCCGTGCTGCTCGTCTTCGCGAACAAGCAGGACCTCCCGAACGCGATGCCGGCGGCAGAGGTCACCGAGAAGCTCGGCCTGCACAACATGCGCAACCGCCAGTGGTTCATCCAGTCGACCTGCGCCTCGACCGGCGACGGCCTCTACGAGGGGCTGGACTGGATGTCGCGGGCGCTATCCTCCAAGAAGTGATGCGCACATGTCTTGGTCAAGTCCGAGGACGAGGATGAGGGTGAGCGCTGTAGAGGATTGGTCGGACGAGGAGGGGGTGGGACAGATGCGAGATGATGAGATGGAGGACGAAGGCGCGCCTTTCAAAGTGCTACCGCCCACTGCGTCGCCTGCCGACGCCGAGCCTATGTTTTTTTGTTGGTGGATCGGGTGGATGGTAATGGGGGGTGACCTACAGGGGCCCTTCAGGGCCCCTCTTGGGCACCCACGGGCTCCAAAAGGAGCCCTAGAGGGCCCCTCCAGGGGCCCTTTGCTCTTCACTCCCAAGTTGGGTCACCCCTCATTGCCACCCGCCCGAGTGGCGACATCGCTTCCCCAAGCTATGCTCTGTACATCATGGAGGCCATTGCAGCTCTGCCCGTGAGGCGGAGATTGGCCGACGGCATATGCCTATTGCCCAGTTGCCTGCCAGCGCGTACTCGCCCACTCCAAAGAAACCCTGCTTGCCTCCAGGGTGCCCTGGACTTCTTGGGTTTCGATGGTTTTGCGATACGGAGCGTGACGTTCCCACACCAAAAACCAAGGGACCTCCTGGGGTCTCAGGGTTGGGTTTCTTGTGGAAGGTTTCTTGTGGACGTGTCTCCACTGTATCTCATTATATCCTTCTCCATGCTCGCATGCCTAATTACTGGATCGCCCTACGCACCGCACGCTTGCTGGAGATTCGTCTAGACGTTGACCCTGAATGCCCCCTGTGTGCACCTCCCGTTTGGCGGCCATAGCGCAGAAGCCACGACGTCTGGAACGGATTAACAAAATACTATCACTCTTCACGACAGTCATTGATTTCTGCCAGCGTTAGCATTCACGAGCCATCACCGAGGCCACAGGCATATCATCACCAGCCGTATGAGCTCCTCTTGCCAGCTTGGTCTTCTTGGTTGCTTTCTCTGTCGGCAATAATTTGGACATGCGGCTCGCGATGTGTGTATCGAGGGCGCCTACGGCGAACCATCGTTGTCCTCCCCTCTTTTGGAAACGCCTTTGTGGCCAAACGTTGGGCCAACGATTGGCCAAGCTATTGGACTACGTGTACCCCCAGCGTTTACGGAAACCCTGGGGGGGGGAACCTTTGCGGGAGGAAAGGAGCGGAGGAGGCGAGAGAGGAAAAGGAGGAGGCGGAGGAGGATGACGAACACGCGGCCTTTTGTGGGCCTACTGGGGCCTCCTTGGGGCCTCTTGGGGGCTTATTGAGGGCCCCTCTTGGGACCTCTTGGGTGTCTCCTGGGGCATCTAAAAGGCTAGTTCTGGCCGTATAGGAGGTCTGTGCGGCCATCTTGGGGGCATCTTGATCCGTTTTTGGGGTCCTCGTTGGCCGTCTTGGGGTCCTGTTGGTGGCCTCTGGGGCCGTCGTGGGGCTACCTTGGAGGCGTACGGGGTCGGCTTCGGACGTCGGAAGCCCTGAGTGCAAAGCACGTGAACACTATTGAGACATTCATGGAGAATCCATGATGTTGGCCTCCTGGAGGTTATCTTGGAGCCCTCTTGGGACGTCGTGAGGTCATCTTGGGCCATCTTGAGTCCATCGCGAGCCGTCTTGGAGACATTGTTGTGCCATTTTCCGCTCTCTGGGGGCCGTCTTGGACGTCCTGGAGGCGTCTTGGCATCGTCTTGGAGGCCACCTTTGTCCATTTGGAGCCATCTGGGTCATTCTCTGCAGACGTCTCAGATGCCTGTTTTCAGACACGGTGGCGCGATCGGCCGAGACCACATTGGGAACCTTTTAGACAAGTTTCGAACCAACCTGAAATCCAGCAAGCCGTGCACGCTTGTGGCAAGCAAAGAGTGGCGGCGGATCGAAGACGCCTACGGCGAATCACCGCCGCCCCAGACCTCTTGGAAGCGCCCATGCGGCCAAACGTTGGGCCAGAGTCTGGCCAAGCTATTGGGCTATGATTCCCCCCCAGCTGTCGTGGAAACCATTTGGGGAACATGTGGCATAGGGAGAGGAAAGAGGATGATGATGATGATGATGATGATGATGATGATGATGATGATGATGATGAGGAGGAGGAGGAGGAGGAGGAGGAGGAGGAGGAGGAGGAAGAGGAGATGGTCTCTTGAGGCCTCCTGGGGGCTTCCTGCTAAGAGCCTCTTGGGCGCTTTTGAGGGGCCTTTCGGGGGCCTCCTGGGACCTCTAGGGGGCATCTTGGGAGCTTCGGGCAGCCTCTAAGGGACCCCTTGGCATTCGGAGGCCGACTTGGAGCCCTCTCAGGGCCATCATGGGTCCCTCTTTGAGCGCTTCATGGCCGTCTTGGCCATCTTGGGCTTTTGGGGGGCCATCGTATCTGTCTTGGAGGCCATCTCTTGGTCGTCCTGGAGGCCATGTTGGGGGGAGGCCAGTGGAAGGTGGGTCTTGGCCGGCTCTCCAGGTGCCCGGCGCGTCGGGTTGCATGCCATTCTAACCCTCATAATCGCTCAGAAGTCTGGCACACCGTGCGCGCCCTTGTGGCAAGCCAACAGAGGGCGGCGGATCGAAGACTCCTACGGAGAGTCAACGCCGCCCCCTGACTTTTGGGAAGCGCCCCCATGGCCAAACGATTGGCGGGAGCTTAGCCAAGCTGTCGGATTATGTTTTCCCCCCGCCGCTCTGAAAGTTCTTCGGGGGACGCCTCGGGGAGGACGAGGGGGAGGATCAGGAGAGGGAGGAGGACGAGGCGGAGGAGGAGGAGGAGGCCGTCGGAAGCCGTGTTGGGGGCCGACCTGGGGCCCTCTTGGGGCACTTCAGGGCTGTCTTGGGACCCTTTTGGTCCTGGGACCCTCTTGGTCCATCTTGGGGTCTCTTAGGCCCTCTTAACCCCTTGGGCCATCACAGGGGCGTCTTTGGAGCCTCTTCGGCGATCTTGGTGCGATTGGGGGCCTCTTGGCCCGTTTTGTGCCGTCGGAAGGCCGAACGGAAGCAACTAAAAGAAAATTCCATGATGTTGGCTCCTTCGGGCCTCCCTGGAGGACCCCTTGGAGGCGTCTTTGGCCGTAATGGAGGCCTCTTTGAGGGGTCTCTAGGGTTGTTTTAGGCAATCTGGAGGTAATTGTTCATCGTCTTGAGCGCATCTTGGGCCGTCTGGGACAATGTCGAAAGCCTGTTAAACAAACGTGACCCCCCCCCCAGATCCCGAACGTCATTCGTTTCCATCAGGACAAGCATCTTTTTTACGATCCCCCGGAAAATATTCGCCGGGCAGGGAACGACGCGATGTATGTATATACATGTATGTATGTATGATAGACCGCGCTCGTGGGGCCCGACAGACTAAAAGGGGGGCCCCAGCTTGAAGCTACCCCCCTCCTCCCTTCCTTGCTAAAGGGGGGGGGCTTCGGAAGCCCCCCCCTCCCCCCCTTTTCGTGGTCCGGAAAGGGGAGGGGGGGCTTCCAAGCTACCCCCCCCCCCTCCTTCACTTTAATTGAGCCGGGGTGAGCCACCCCCCCCCTTTGAAAGGGGGGGGGGCTTCGGAAGCTACCCCCCCCCTCCCTTTTCGTGGCCGGAAAGGGGGGGGGGGGGCTTCCAAGCTACCCCCCCCTCCCTCCTTTTAGTGGAGCTGGGGTGAGCCCCCCCCCCCTTCCCTTTGAAGGGGGGGGGGCTTTGGAAGCTACCCCCCCCTCCCTCCCTTGGTGCAAAAGGGGGGGGGCTTGAAGCTCCCCCCCCCTCTCCTCTTTGGCTCGTGTGGGGGAGGTTTTTCATTTGAGTCGTTTCTTGGCGGTCCCGGGGCCCGCTGAGCGCCTCTGGAGGCCGAACATATCCAAAAGCTTCCGCCTTGATTTTTGTTGCAAGACGTCGGAGGTCTGGGTCCCGGGGCCCGTCCCGGCCGATCTCTCCTGTCCCTGTATGGGGGACAGGCCCGGCTTAACACTGGGTGCCCGGAGCTCCGTGCGGATTTCGCACATCGGCGCCGGACCCCAATGGCGGCGCCTCCGACGCCGCCCCCTGGCGCGCTCCGCGCGCTAGGCATTGGGGTCCAGCGCCGATCCAACACAGTCCGCGGGGACCTCCAAAAGTTTGTGCTTATGCTCTGAACCGCCGAGCGCGTTCCGCTGCTCGCAAAGTGCCTGCTCTCAAACGTGCGAACAACGGATGCCTGCTCCGATGTAACTTCTCGTAGATCTCCCCCAGCGGATCCGGGCCATTTGCGAGTAGTCACCTTGCGAGTAGTGGAACGCGCTCGTCTAGTGAAGTTGTTCGATCCTCTGTTGCAGCGTGTCGCCGCCGCCGGCTCTGGCCCGCCACGCGGCGGCGCGGGGCGCCAGAGGCAGCTCCAGCCGTGCGATCTCTCTGCAGCCTGCCGCCCCCTTGGGGGCAGAGCGACAGGCCGTCCGCGCGTCGCTGGGCCGCCAGGGCCGCCGCTGCGGCACGCTTGCAGCGGGCGTTCCTCGCCGCAGACATCGCCCCGTGCCTGGCCAGAGTTATCCTGGGCCCAAGGACTGTATATACATATATACAGTCGATGTATATATAATACGCACATATACATATTTACACATACTTATATACACATACAAATAGATATACACATATGTATACATATGTACATCTATACGTATAGCTGCACTGATGCACTGACAACCTACCCCTCAGCCGTTGAAGGTAGCTAGTTTTTGGGATTCCCAGTGCCCATTCTGCTTTAGCCGTCTTCCTACTTCAAGAGTCGAATGGTTTTCCTTATTCCCTCTTCTACAGGAGGCAGGCGGAAACCCAATCTACTTCCAATGCCTTTCTACTTCATGGTTCTACCTACTTGTTTCGACCGATGGGTATACGCATAATTACAGAACTAGTCCGGTACAACTTCGGGCGCGGCTGGGGAGGCTGATTCCAGAGCGCCGACGGCCCAACGGGCTCCCCAGATGGCCCAAGTGGGCCCGAAGACGACTCCCAAGAGGCGCCCAGGAGGCAACAGTCATGGGTTTTCCTTTATCAGGTTGCAGTGCTATTATCGCGTACGCGGCTTCTCGGTCTCCGGAGCGCT